TAAAGTGATCAACAGAGTGAAAATTTGAAATATATCAGAGTAAGTCTCTGTACTCCTTCCATGTAGTGGCGAAATGGAATATTTGAATAAATAATGGCAAATTCGGGTTATAAGGTGAGATTTTTTTTTCTCTTTACATTTTGCCCTAATTTTCTGTTTTTAGATCTTCTAAAATGTAATTCTAATGGCACTAATCTACACAAAGCTCTCCCACCTCCAACATGCTTGTACATACACATTCATGCTAAGAAAGGCCTAAATCATGGATGATTTTTAGTAGTACATACATAGACCTTACCCTGTAGTTCCTCTGGGAAAAATATAAATATATATTTATAAAAATATAAATAAATCTATTTTCTGAAAAATTCCTGATGTTTTGCCAAAGGGAAGCTTGTCTACAATATATACAGTGGTATTAAAGGTATCCTATAAAGTCCAAACTTCACCTTGCACCCAATAAGGTGTAGAGAATGCTCACTTGCATTGTCAGAGAACAGCACCAGTCCTTGAAAATGGATAGTTCATGACAGTTTCATTGGAAAGCACTCTGTTGGATCACTAACTCATTTGGAAGGAGGGGCATGGAAAGTGTTAGATCATAGATATTTTCCACAGCAAATTAGTTGACATTAACTATAGGAAAAAATTATTTTAGTTGTGAGAAGAGTCCAGGAAACTGATTAAAAGAGAGGACTCTAGGGGGTATATTTTCAAAGAATTGTGTGGGAAGTTCTGTGCATAACTTCCACTGAAGTCAATGTCTAGAGAAGCATCTTAGTGGAAGGTTAATGAGAAACTGTCTTTAAGCATGGTCACCTTTGCCTGGTGAAGTCTGAAGCCAATGGCTTACTATCTGATGGCTGTATTCAAAGCCTAAGTGAAAGAACTGGGATAACTAGCCATTGAAAAAAAAGGCAATGTGTATATACACGTGTTGCTTTTCAGTAATGTTTTGTACTTCTACAAGAGGCTTTCAGTAGATCTCAGAACATTTTAGGAAAGTGGAAAAGTGTTTTGAATCAGAACTCTGATAAAGAAGTAAAAGTATTTGTCCAAGGTGTTCCAGTTTTGCTTGTGTTAAAACTGGGAGAAAACAGCTCTTTACCTGCTATTTCCTGATGCCATTGACACAGTTGATGGTCTCAGTAGGGCACAAACTGAGTGTTTTAATGATTTAATTGCTCACGTGACATGACTCATGCTGATGGTTTACATTTTATAACAGGAACCATCATAGTGTGGTACTTCAAAGGTAGTTTGTGCTTCCTGTATTTGCGTTGTACTAAAGACCTTCAACCTCCAGTGATACTATTACAGCATCCTTTCTCTTCAATAAATTATAAACAAATAACAGAATGTTTTAAACTCTTGAAAGCTGACTAAATACAGGCAGCATTCCCCTACTTTCTGGATTACTGCAAGACTGCCAAATTCTCTGTGGTGGTTTAGGAGATCAAGGGCACTTACTCATAAGTGAACATGCATTGCTTACTGCACTGTAGGTGCATTGTACTGGGAATAGTGCTGTCCACGTGTTGAGGCCATGAATACCTAAAACTAAGCCAAATAATTGCTGTGCTTGACATCCCTTCCTTGAGAGCATGGAGTCATTTCATAGTGTAGATGTAAACGGTATCATTTTTTTTGAGTGTGTCTTGAATACCAAATGAATGTCTGTATTTAAAAGGAATCATGAAACAAATGCTGCAATAGGAACTCTACTGTTAATGCACTTCTACTGCCAAGTGCACAGAGCCTAAAAGGAGTCTGTTATTGAGGTCCAGTAACAGCGTGGCTGCCATGAAGAACTATCATCATCTGATGTCTCTTAACAGCTTTTAAGTTTTGTAGTAAGTGTAGTAATTACTTTAGACCAGAGCAGCAATGATGTGCTAAATGTAGGTTACCCTTTGAGGTCTTAGCTTATCTAGGAATGGGCGGTGAAAAGACTTTTGAATGTGTTAGCTGGATCTGAGAGGCAGGGCAGCTGTTCAGCACATTTCTGGGCTGTCTCCCACCTCCTGCTTTCATTTTGTTGTAATTCTGCCTCATCTTTGACCTCTCAAGCTGAAAGTTTGTAAACTGTTTTTGTGTGTGTGCGCGTGTGTTTTTGTTTGTTTGTTTTTAAATCTCAGCCAAAACAGTCTTACCATTCTTAAATGCAAAACAAGGAAAAAAAGACTTTCTGAGCCAGGAAACTGATGAAGGAAGCTGAAGTTTGTGATGTGAGGGTTGGATTTAGCTGGCCAAAGAGAAGGGAAGATGGAGAGTGGATAGGAACCAGGGGAAAAACAGTTGAAAAGACCTTGGATGTGGTGAAAAAAGGAGGAGTGAGAAAAGGGATAGTAACAGGTGGGAGCAGAGACGGTAATCCAAGGAAAGTGCAGGAGCAGGTGACACTGATGAGAAGACAAAAAGTGGATTTTGGTTTTGACAGAGGCATGGATGCAGAGGTGGAGAGAAAGCAGGGGAGGTGGAGAAGGAAGAGAAAATAGGTGGTAGAAGAACTGTAACATCTGGTAATGTAATCCCAGCCCTGACAATAGTGTGTAAGCAGAGAGGCCAAATGAAAGCTGTGTGAGCAACCTTCCCTCTGGTACTTTCAAACTCTTGGAGTGCCTCACTATCCATTATGCTGTCTATTTTAGGCATGTTAACTATGCAAATGTGCCATGTAGAAAATCAAGTGGGCAGGCATACAGTAATGTAAGAGAGTAATCTTTCAGGAGGTCACATAATGCAAGGGTTGAAGCTCTAGGATCACTATTTTTCTCTTCTGAAATAAACATACCTTAAATTTGACATCCTTTATACAGGAAAATATCAGGGTAAGTCCTGATTATTGCAGAGTTTCTGGGGCAAATTGAATCATTGGAGTTGACCTGTCTGAAAAACAGAAGTATCTTGAAGCTTTTATCTGTCCCCCTCTTTCTCCCTCCCCTCCCCTTCCCCACCCCAATTAGCAAGATAAAATTTCCATAGCTTGTCTCAGAAATAGGGGTCTTCACAATTTATTTTCCTGCAGAACATAGAGCTCAAAAAGATTTGCATTCAGCTTTGCAAGGCTAAATCCAGTGGTCTGTAGCAGTGATTTTCAAACCAGTCTGAGAACCACAGGACCATAGATGGAAGTCCTGTGTAGTGGTCTATAAGAAAAAACAAGACTGTTAAATTTGCTGCAATTGCAAATTTGATAGGAGCTAGTAAATTGGAAATCCTTGATGGATGTTGTAAAGACATATGGGACATTGGAGGTGCTACAAAATCAGGCCTTCTTTTATGAAGTGTCCAGGTTTACAGAGCCAAAGTTTAGCATTTGCATTTTCTGCTTTTGTTTTATGCTGTTCAGGTACTCTCTTTGCCAAAGATCACCCTTTCCGACAAAGATAAGTTGAATCTGCCCGCTGTAGTTTTAGATTTCAGTTTCAGCTGAGATACACTGGTAATCCTGAGATACAAAATTTTCTTCTGAATGTATTGCAGTTAACTTCAGTTGTATAAATCCAAGCATTAGCTGGATACTATAAATAGGCAGGATGTGCAAGGAGGCCAAGTTGAAAATGTGCAGGAACCATGCTTTTTTTTCTTTAATGCAACCCTGAAGTTGTACTACATTTCATCATGTGCAACATTTTTCATCTGAAAAAGAAACAATGGTCATGTGCTTGGTGGGTGTAGTAATTAACTGGACTTAATGAAGCATTGAATTTCACACTTCATAGAAGTAGATGGGGGAGGATGGGTACGTTTTTGTCACTTTTTTTTTTTTTTTTTTTGCTGTTAGTGTTTTCATGGAGGTAAAGAAAATCTTTTCTGCAAGACTGTGTAGAGAGCAGAAAGACATCTGTTTTAAATTATATGATGGCTGTACTTTGGCAATGGAAAAAGATGGCACTTAAAAAAAATGAAAGAAGAATAAAAAATAAAAGCTTGGCAACTGCAGAATGGAGCAGCAATTACAAGAAGTATTTTAAAATTCCCAGGATTTGTAATCTGTTTTTCCACGCATACATTTTTTCTAATGTTGCTGATGATAAGGGAGTAAAACAGAGGAAATTCAGTAGGATTTTACAAAGTACAGCTATCTGTATGAAACAATCTCCTTTATTCAGGTTGCCCCCACAACAGCTGTTGTGATTAACATGTGGGTGGTAGCAAAAGGGATAGGAAGCAAGACTCATGTTCACTTATACAAAGTGATAGGAGATCATAATTTTTTTTTCTGCTCTTTTCTTCAGCCAGTGGCCATCAAGATGGTCTCTCTCTTAACTGCAATTATTAATGGGAGTAAGACAGAAGTAAAATTAAGGTAGATGTTTTTCAGAAACAGAGCCATGTGAGGCATCTTAGTGGTGGGAGAGGAGAAAGTAATTCAAGCAGTGTAACAGTACCTATTGATGTGTCACCTACTGCAGTTTCCAATATTTTATTTTTCTCTTTATAGATTCACTCAGAAAACACTTTTTTTTTTCTCCTCCTTCTTTAAACATTAAGACTGTGTGGCTCAAAAGTACAGAGCTGAGACTCCACTCCTGTGGTAGACATTTTCATCTTTGGGTAAAGTTGGTGGGAGCTGAGGATTATGCCATCTGTCTCATTCTGAACAAGATGACAAGGAGTGATGTATGAGCACCTTCCAAGAGTGCAGTAAGTTGTGCATCCCATGGGGTTGCTTTTCACATCCTCTCAATTGGAAAGTGGAATGATTTAACATTTGTTGGGCTTGTGGCTGGAAAGGTTGGGAATTGTGCTTTCCCTGTAGTGGGGTACAAGCTACATGGCGGCGCCCCCAGGTTGTTCAGCAAGTCAGCTCACTTGAAATAGAGCTCTGGAACAAAATATGTTCTGAGTGATTTTTAAGTAAAAGCTAATGTGAAAACGTGGGAGCTTGCACCAATGTAAACACATTACATTTAAAACAATTTTCAAATGTAGTAAAGAAAAAAAATGATGTTCCTGCTCTTGAAATTCCTCAAGGACACATTTCTCCTTTTGAGTCATGGTTTAATTAGATTATATTTTATTAGACATTCTTTACAAATTTTGAAATACTGCTATTATACACGCACAAAGGAAAATCAGTTTGAACAATTGTGTGTAGGCATTCATTGAAGTCAACCACAAAACAGGAATATTTTTTGTCAGTTATCCATGTACTCGATATGTATATCTAAAGTGCATTATGTTACAAAAAATATAGAAAGTCAGCAGCACCAAGATACGTTCACAAAATAAATACACCAGTCAACAAAATAAATTATGGTAAATGTGACAATAATAATTGTCTTAGCATTAGCAAAAAAAAAAAAAAAAAAAAAAAAAAAAGTTCACAATAACCAAATGTGCAGTTTCAGAGAGCAATGGGGGAAAAAAGTTTTATTCTGAGCATTTACAATATTTACAGGTAATAAATATTTTAATACTTCCCATATGTTCACTATTACAGAATACTGCAATATGTCTTCCAAAGATGTCTTGCTGAAAATATCAGCGCCTCCTGCAGAGAAAAAAAAAAAAAAGAATAAAAAAAAGGGAAAACATTAACTTTCACTTCAAATACATAGACTCAAAATTAACAGCAAGAGTTCCACAGACTATATAATGGATGTGTCTTGCTAGTAAATATTTGCACTAGTAAGACCTGTTTAATAGTATTACAGTATTGGACATCATTTCAAAAATCTCTATTTCCTTCAGTGTAGTGCAGCTGGCAGTATGAAGACCTGCAATTTATCATGAAAATGAGACCATCTATTCCACTTTGTTGTACTTTCAGACAAATAGGAAGGAGCTTTAGATTTCTTAGGGCCTTACACAGGAAGATTCCTGAAAGCTATGGGTAGAAAAAAAAATTATCAACCTGTAATAAATACGCCAAGCACTAAAAGGAAAAACAAACAAACAAACAAAAACCAAAACCAAAACAACAACAAAACATATTTGGAGAAATGAGAAATTTGATTTGAAGATAAGAAAAAGCAAGTCCTTTTTGAATACTCTGGCAATCATGTCCTTATTGTGTTAACTGTTTGGTTGCAATGCCTGGCTTTTTATTAGAACTGTCCCATGAGATTATTTAGTCTATCTTGACCAAATCTGTCTTTGTCTACGGATAGGTCACCTGTCAGGCAAGGGGCTGTTTATCTTAAAGGTGTGTATTTCTATACTGTCATGTCCATGAGTTTTACTTCATTAAAGTCTGCTCAGGTGAACAGATCCTTGATGGTGTCTCTCTTTAAGTATATGAATAAATGCAGAGAATATATTCCTGAAACTCTCCTTTTGTAAGCCAAATAACTCAGACCATAAAGAAAATGAGCATCTCGTGTTAAGCTCTGATGCCTGTTGCATTCAGTCAGAGCTGAAACATTCAGAGTTTGGTCATACACAGCCCTAAGATTTGAGAACTTTCTAAGGGACACTGGTGTGCTTTTATGATTTCTGTAATCCTCCCTTTGTGAGCTTGGGAGAACAAAAGCAGAGCCTGCTTCTATCCGACGTGTAGAACTTGCACTACAATATTATTTTAAGTTATTTCTTAGCAGTACTGCAGGAAATGCTGAAGGGTTGGGCTTTTTTCCCTTCTGCTGCTGTGAACAGCACATTTCTGTAATGCATTTCAGTTCCCTGGGAAACAGTTATAGGGTGGAATGCAAAGCTATAGGATGGAGTGTGATTTGCTCTGCTGCTGGACGGATCACCAAAGCTGTGGGTAGTGTTCTGCATGGCAGACGTGTGTGGGCGTGAGACACGCACAAAAAAACAAATCCTTGAGAGTTTGAATTTTTTTTTTTGTATGTGCACATTGAAAGTTAGACTACATTTAGCATTAGGGAGTTTACTTATTTGAAAAGTTTCTTAGGAAATTAGGTAATAACAGTTTAATTGAATTGGAATGGGAATATAGCTGGAATGTCCATGAGAAAGAATTTTTAAGTGCCTGGAATGAAAATGTTACCATGAAGCTCCATAATTAACTAGGGTAATATTAGGGTGTATTCAGGCTACAATATAAGAATGACACACAATTCATAGAGCATGACTGTATATGTGTGTCTGAACTATATAGGCCTGTTTTTAAGAGGGTGATATTTTCACTCTGGCTTGGACTTTACTCTTTGCTGTAGAGTTTAAGCTAAGCCACATCTTGACAATGGTCTCCATACTAATGAGTACATGCAAGATGCTTTCTGTGATTTGGTCTCTGATTTTGCAAGGTTGGCTACTTTATGAGATACTGCTTGTAATAATTCAAAAGATCTACAGTGCAGGTCATTTCTTGTCTTTTTTTTTTTTTTTCTTTTTTTTCAGATCTAAACCCAAAATTTTGGGATTGAGTTTGGGCAGAGGGAATTGGCATGTGGATTTTCGTTCAGCCTGTTGAGCAGAAAGGAAGCACAGATATACAGTGAAAAGCAGGCTGCTGCATTATGCACATCTATTTCTTCACTGCCAAGTAGTGATGCTTCTTCTAAGCTTCAGCAAGCCTTAGAGATGCTACAAAAGCAGCTTCTAGTGATGTAGCATATGGATATCCTGTCTGCATATGCCTTCCTTGTCTCCCACCAACAGATAAAGTCCCTGATTTATCTTGATGTAGGTGAGGAATCAACCTCACCAAGACACATTCATCCCTCCTTCTAAAATGCGCTTGCCCACTATGTGCCAATAACAGCATAGGAAACTACTTTGAACCTGACTTCTGCTATCTAAGGTACGTGGCTAGGTATGAGTTAGTCTTGCTTTGAAGTTTAGAAATAGTATCTTTTGTCAGCCCACTGGGATAATTGCAACTTAATGCAATAACAGAGTGGAACCATCATATTATACTCTGTCCTTTTAAGGGAGGAATTTTGTTTTCTTGTTTCAGGGCTTCTCTTTGCTTATTTTTCTTCAGCCAAATCTGTACAATATAGGACCTCTATAGGAATCTATGTTATGTTTCTGCCCCTGGTGTAATACTGCATCTTGGGGAATAATATCAGGAAGGTAAAACTAATTCAGGACTTCCAAGGTGAAGCTGACAACCTTCAGCCATCCAACCATACTTGAAACAGAAAAGCTACATTCAGACAATAAACAGGATTGTATCTGTCATTCTTTTACAGCTCCCTTTGGATAGACAACCAAAGAAACAGTGAAAATGCCCTTGGATATTTTTTTCCTACATACAACATTTCTGTGTGCTAAAGACACTGCTGCCACTGCAGTTCTTTAAGAGCTATTGCAACTTCAGGCATCTCATGACAGGACTACCAGAGTGTGCTTTTCCTAGGTCACTGGATCAAAACCATCCTCTTTTACCCCACTACTGAGTCTTACAGACGTGCTAAGTGCTTTATGGTCAGGGATGCTGAATGCCTAGCTCTGGACACCAGTAACTTTTGTAGATGCCAGCAAAAGTTGAGGCAATGGAGTACACTGCACACTGTGCCCTGTAAAGCTTAACAAAAGACTGAATTTTAGTAAGTCCCACAGCTTGCATTCCTTTCTAAGGGACATACTGTGAGCAAGTGGCACTTCTATTGTATCTTATGCTGCCAAAGCAGATGGGGAGGAGGACAGAAAAGTGCTTTTTTTTTTTTTTTTTTTTTTTTTTAACTGTTGAAAATACTAACATTTGAGGAGAACTAACAGTGGAGGGGACTGCTTGGATTTGCCTGCAAGTGTTCTGACCTCCATTCAAACCAAGATGACTGCAAGTGGATGAGTTGCTTGGGGCACCTCTACTTAAGTCCTCAGCTTGCCTCTTCCTTGAAAACCCTTCATTGTCATACGTGAGGAAAGCACGTCTCTCTCCAAAAGCAATGCTCAACATTTTTGAGCAGCAACGTAATTGTTTCACGAGCTGGCAAAAGGATAGAGCTGAATTAAAAAGTCCTAATGGCAGGGAAAATTTTATGGCAAAAGGCTGGTCTGTGTTGTTTGCAGATATTACTAAGAGAGAAATTTTCCATGTTCTCCCCTAAGGTTAAACAGTAAAATGAAAACTGTAAAGTAAGGGTAGGAAAGTTGCCAAAAAGGGGAGGCGTTGAGAGGGAGGAAAGAAAACTTCACCATTTTATAGATGCAGAGCCTTAAATAATACTCAAAGCTTTCAATCTGCTGAGGCCTGAGTGTGGGACCAAGATCTGAAGAGAGAGACACTACAGTTAAAGTAGAATAGGGAATTTTAATGGCTATGATGTGCTTTCTTTTATCAGAAAAACTTCCCTTGCTACACAGTTTTGGGAAGCTTGTTTTAGCAATAAGCAAGCAGTTTACTAGAGTTGTTTGTCATAGCAAGGGAAGACTCTTTGGGGTATATACTCTTGTAATAGTGGCTTTCTGGCCAGAAGTGAAAAGGTTGCTTTTCTGGGTGCAGATTTGCCAGTACAAAGTGGACAGGGTACTTACCGCCAGAAAGCACCTTGAGACAGGGCACTGCTGGAAAAGCCACTGCCCAGCTATAGCCAAAAAGATGTGCTACTGTTCCAGACTTAAACAATGCCTTGACCTCATGCACAGAAAGATAACAATTTCAGTAAATACATGTTATGCCTGTGGAAAGGATGTAGTAGAATTACCTTAAAATATGATTATGTGTAGTAACAGAGTTGTCCAAGAGTGGACTCTCGGTCATGCTGCTTCCATACATGTCAGAATTTAGCCAAGCAGAGCGGGCTCGCCTCTTTTTCTTCTCTTGTTCCTTACGTTTTCCAGGCTTTGCTTTCTTTTTCTTCCCTGATACCTTCAGGGGTTGTTCCTTGTAGGTCTGTGATTTGTTTGTCTCCTGAGTTAGGTATCTGCCCTCATCTTCACTGCCAAATCGGACAGGGTAGTTCTTTGTGTTTGTAGCAGGCTTAGGGTTAGGTGAAACCTCTGAAGTTGCACGGATTTCTGCAGTGTTGACACCTTCAATTAAATTTTGAAGGAATATTCTTCTTCGTAGATCTTGGATTGACTTGCCCTTGTCATGCAGTAGCTGGTGCTCTGATACAGCCCGTTTGCTAAAGAAAGAGAAGAACAGAGGGGAAAGAGACATTTAGGATATGGTTATTGCCCACTGCTTCACAAAGTTCCTCTCTCCTCTGGCAGTGACTGCCTGTACCAGCTCTCAGGCTTGGAGACACCCAGTTAAGTCAGATCGTGGGAGCAAGTCCTGCTTCTGAGTAACTGCTCTCTACAGAGAAGGAAAAGACCTAAGCTGATAGTAATTCTCATCTGACCGATCACAGACCAGCAGACCTGAAGTTGGATTAGTCACTGCTTTATTCTAGAGGAGCATTAAAACTCTGAATACATCACACTTCAGGCAGTAAAACCAGGAAGACAGTTGTGAAATATATGAAAATCAAGGGGTCAGGTAATGGAGCACTGCAGTTGGGCAAGAGAAGGAATAACAAGTACTGAAGCCGGAAGCAGTGTTTATACAGCATCATTCTAATAATTTTATTCTGCTCAGTCATGTACTTTGAAAATATAAATAAATGCATAAAAATGCATTTCAGTTCTAAATTTAAATATGTGCAATTGCAGGAGCGTAATGGAAAAATGGTCAGATTTGGGTGCCTAAAGCATAGGCACTTCAATCCTTAATGAGCTATCTGGAGAGGCAGCTTGTGCAACAGCAGCAGCATGAGCATCAGCCACTCCTGTTGACTTTACTGCTTAGCCACTTGTGTCTAATTATGGCTTTAGATGCCTTCCTGGTGTTCCTTTAAAGTGTGAACTTCTGGGGTCAATATGAACTTCTTGGCTTCTGTGCTCTCTGCGTTTTACATGAGCCTTCTTCACTGGATCATCTTCCACAGTGTTCTGCTTTTTTTGTGTGGGTCTCTGATACTCTTTTAAAGTTCATGATATTATGGTTCACTAACCTCTTTCTAATTTTTGAGGAATGAGGAGATAGGTATGTCTTTCAGAGATGTACTGGCAAAAAAAAAATGTATGAAATATCTGAGGAAAGAAGATCCAAGTGGCACCTGGATAATAAAGAACTGTGAGAAAATACATGCTTTTTCCTTGGTGTGGGATAGATGCACAGCTGCACTGTGAACAACAGAAAGAGCACAGGCTGGGATTTTAGTTATGTTCCCATGCATGCTATAATACAGTTTATCCTTCCGATTGCCCTACTTCTGTGTGCTGAGATTGGCGACGTATCCTCTCATCTTGCATCAGGGTACTGCATGTGACTGGGCTTGTACTGGCCAAAGAAAATGAATTCACTGCCTTGCCTGTCGTATAACCATTTGGTCAGCTAGTGGATACAGAGTTGTTTCTCAATGTGGGTGAAACAGGAGAAGACATAACTGTGACTATTCCTTCCTTCCATCCCTTCCCTAATTATCCTGCAAGGTTTCTAAATGTGGTGGACAAAGATAGTGTGCTAAATTACTGGAAGTGTTCTGTAATTTATCTTTCTCAGTCCCTTCAGCCAAACACTTGAGATTTGTGATTTGATCAACAATAAAGTTATTTGAGATTGGCAACTTTATGTAGCATTGGTTTAAGAGCATCCCCTTCACTATTTGTCTTTGTAAATCTGCAATTTGTATTGGGTCCAAATGGTTAGTTCAAGTGATACTACATCTCTATTGCTCAATATAAAACTCAAACACCAGCTTTCTTCCATCCCACTGTAAGACTAACAGATGACTGTTGTTTTTGCATGAAATGATGCAGCAGTGTCCTGGTTTCAGTTAGGACAAGAATGTATACTTGCCCAAAACCAGGCCTAGGTATACTCAGGTTTGTGAGCACACGTTTGGCCAAACATTGTCTATGATGTTTTAAGTGTCCCATAATCAGATGAGTTTTGGATAACTTCAGGCCTTAGGACATGTATTTTATGCCCTTCAACTCATGTCTCTAAGTAAACATGCAATATGATAATACTGAACTGAACCCATATTGTTTCATTCTCTTCAGTGCAGCTGTGACCATTAACTCAAGCTCAAGATCCCCCCCAGGAGAATTATTTTGACCAGTGCAGCTCTCCAATAGCCATCTCTAACAACCTTCTCATTAAAGTCAATCAGATTTGCAAGTGTGCTAATAAAACTAGCACCTTCGACTCCTTTGAGTGGCAAACTCCTGTGCTGTTTGTCAAGTTGTCCATTGTGGTTCACATTACTTTCCTAGCTTCAGTAAACTATTTTCCCAGGGCTTTTTGCATGTGAAATGCAGTTTTCCTTTCATTCTTGCATAGAAAATCTTAGTGCTTTACTGAGTCTAAAACAGTATGTCTCATGTGATGAGCAAAGCTTTCCTACTGCCAGTTGTAAACTAAAGGATAATTCCTTTTATCACAGACAACCTAAAGCTGCCTTAATCCTGTAATGTGTATTTGGTCAATTTACCCACTGTGACAAAATCTTGAATCTCCAAAGCCTGTTATTAAAGTACTCTTGATTGAAAAGCTATTCCATTTTACAGGGCTGAAACCTAAAGATTTGGTTCCAGTACACACAAGACAGTCAAACAGCATTATGAGATCTACATCTTGTGAGAGTATGCATTTCCAAAATAATGCAGGGATAAACGTGTGATAGGTCACTGTGCCAAAGACGGTAGGTTTCTGTTTAAATGACTATGATATTTAGCATCAGGTCTGGCCCCAAATAACATTCTGCTATTCCAGATGATTGTATAACGTAACGTAGTGTTACATTTCACATGACTTCTATTACTCAGTCAGGCTGAAGGATTACATTTTGCCTACCAATTTCCTTTGTATGCTCTAGATCAAAAATCTCCCTAAAATGAAGAAGCTGTGGTAGATACATATCTCTTTGACCTTCTGCCTCCTTCCGTTATGTTACTCAAACAACTACCATGTTTGTAAATCAGGGGAAAATACTTGCCCAAGAAAGCTGATGTAAGAAGTGCTTCATACTGCAGATATCAACAATGTCTCACCCCCACACACAGAGTAGGAAGGCAATGGAAACAGAAATGATTGTGTTCACATATTGGGAATGATATGTTAAAAAAGAAAAATAATAATAATTAAAAAAAAGGCTGTTAGCATTAAGATGACCCACTAGAGGTCCCTTCCATCCTTCTATATTCATTCAAGGAAAAAGAGTTTGACCCCAAACCAAATGCAGCAAATGCCAAGCTAACTTGTGGTGGGTACTTTTGAGAGAAGGTTGGTGATGGTATGTATTTGACCAGAGTGCCCAAACTAATTGCTGTATCCAAGTACACTATGTGCATATGAGACTTGATGTCTGATTACTGGGAGAACAGTAGAAACCCATTCAGATATTAAGCATGTACTTCCAGATAAGCTGTTCTTTTCAGACAAATTCTTCTTTTTTTCACTAGATAACTAGCGTCATTGAGAAGCAACATTCTTCAAGCAACAACTTGCTGCCTCAGAATTGCTCTTATTTAATTGTTATTATCCTTGACTATTCATGTTGGGTCTGATCAGCAGAATAGGAGAAAGGACTCAGTCAGCTCTCTGTCTGGCTTTTGCAAGACTGAGTGCCCTTGCCACTGGCTCCAAAGGAAGTGAAAGCTGCTCAACCTATCTTGGGTTAGGAAAAATATTTTCTACAGATCTGGGGACACAGTGCTGCAGTGTCTGGGCATGCTGATAAAAATATCTAATTTCACTTTGAGGCATTACAGGGTTTCTCAGAAGTTCTCTAGTCAGTAAAACATTTGTATAACAAATAATATGTCTGGAAATCTTTTCTTGGGACAATTTGCTATTGCTTTCCTTGGGAGATTTGCCTTAGTAAAGTCTGTAGCACTAGGTCTATGTCATTTTGATTATTTTTGCATGGCTATAATAATGTGCCTTAGTATTTTCATCCATTACTGGTTTAAGCCTTTGAGAGAAAAAAATATCTCTAGGCTTAAGTGAGTTATTAACCATTAACTCTAGGAATGGTTTGTGGTGGTATTAAAACAGGACACATGTTTGAGTGTGGTGTCTGTGTTTGTGTTGTACCCACAAACAAAACTACGTGCATGCCACTAACTGACAGCTAACTGGTTTCTTGTGTGTGTTTTACATGCCATAGCAAAGAAGGAGCTGGGAAATACATTTCAGCTGTTTAGCTTCCACTTTTTTTTCACCCAGACAGGATGGAATGGGGATGTTGGGAAGAACTCTAATCCTGACCTTTAAAAACAAGTGTTACAACAATGCTAACTTCAAAAAGAAAAAAGATTATTTATAAGCATTTATTTTTTAACAAATTTGGCTTGGATCCAGTACAGTTTCTTAGCCAAGGAAGTACAGCATTTGACTGCACTTCAATTATTTTAATTTTTTGTTTATGAAACTGAAGTTTGGATCCTCTGTATAGCCAAAGAAAGTGGTATCAAATGTAGGAAATATCTCAACAGTAGCTTTCAGGCATACAAAAAAGCTAAGCACTAGTAGGCTTGGAAGAACACACTGTAACATTATCAGTAATACAATGTTCTACAAAATTTGCTGTAGGAGATTCAGCTGTCTGCTTGGTGCCAAAGTTTAGGTGTGTCTGAAGTCACTTCACCTGGGGGATATTTTTTGTTGTTTAAATGGCAGAGGAAGTGGTATTTGTAAATCTTGTCCTTATGCATGTAACAGAACAGTTACATGGAAATCCGTTTGATATTAAGTTTGCTGTGTCATGTTTCCCTGTATGTTGTGATTGGATTTTCTAACCTGACAGCCCTCCACGGTATGACCAGAGTTTCTTCCTTAGAAAATCTCATGCAAGTCCAGTAAGAGCCAGTGAACTAGCTACGTGTGTTAGACAATTGCTCCTGCATCAGCCCAGTGGTTTCTCTACTGCACTTTGCCTAGGGGACACTTGTATGAGCTATGGTGATTATTTTGGAAGAAGCAAAAGGGTCATTTCCAGGATAGAATCTCTTAAGTTACATTAGCATTTGTCAAAAACACGCTTCTGCCTCTGAGTCAGATACTGCTCTCCTTTCAGAAAAATAAAATAAAATAAAATAAAATAAAATAAAATAAAATAAAATAAAATAAAATAAAATAAAATAAAATAAAATAAAATAAAATAAATGCTGAGGTGCCAGAAATCCAAGGCAATTGTTCATTGCTCAGTTTCGTGATGGCCCCAACTGCTGTGTGTTTTCCCCTTCCTTATCAATACTGGCTGTACACCCGTGCCAGAGAAGCACGCAGTACTTGGTGTAACCCTCAGAAGCTTGGTGGAACGGGATGCTCCCAGGCAGGACCCTTCCAGGGTGCAGAAAGGTGCATGGACAACAGCGCATGCTAAAACTGCAGCTGCACGGCTGTTCCCCATGGAAGAAGAGCCTCTCAGCTCCAACATTGCCTTCCTAAGTGTTTTGTAAGGGCAGAAGCTTTCCCGTTCCCTGCCCCGAGCGCCTTCTGCCCGTAGCTTACAGCAAACCCGTGGGGGAGCACCTGGGGCAGGTAACGCGAAGCCTCCCGCTGCAGCGCTGCTGGGGTCTGCTGTCCCCCTGCCCCCTGCCCACCCTCACTGTGACCGAAGCGAGACAAAACCCCAGAGAAACTCACAGTCGGCGGCTGATCCCCTCCACTGATCTCCCGCAGGAGGGCACGGAGTAACTCAGCAGGAACACTGCGAAACTCCACTGCTGGAAGAGTTTAGTGAACATTGTATCCTCCGGGTCCTAAAACCTGCAAGGAAAGGAGGGTCAGTCCCGAAAGACACATGCGCCAGCTCCGTCCCCAAACGGTCCCTTGCTGTGGGCTCTCCCAACTCCCAGGCTGCGAAGGAAAAACAAAATTTCTCAACTCTCGACAGTAGCTCACTTCTTCCAAACTTTGCTTCGTCTCTCTCTCCCTTCCTTGCTGTCTGCTGCTCTCTTCCTCCCTCCCTCTCTCTGTCTCTTGCTGCCCGGAGGTAAGATCCCTCTTAATATTTGTTGAGGAAAAAAAAAAAAAAAAAGAAGAATAAAAAAAAAGATCTAGCTCGTATTTGAATCGGGCTGAGGAGCGCGTCTGTTTGCTTCCCCGAGTCGTGTTCAGTTCTAGACTGGAAAGCAGCTGTCCCAGGGCTTTCTGCTCCAAGAGCAGCCCTCCTTTCAGATAAGGAAAGATTCCCTACAGCAGCTCAGCTAACCTCCGTGTAAACACACACACGAGCACTCACACGCAGATTCGGGCGGGAGGAAAGGCATCTATCCATCCCTCTCTAAATATACCTCTGCAAAAGTCAGGTTCACGTCCTTTCCTCACGGAAAGCTGGGGTCACGCTGAGCCAGGGCAAGTGACCTCGAGCAAAAAGCGTTGCCCGGCTGCGGAGCCCGAGAGCTCCTCTACCAGGAGCGGTGTCCCGGGGACTCGCGGGGGCTGGGGCTCATGCTGGGCTCCGCAGGTTGGATCGCACTGCAGCCTGCGATGTTCACACGCCCCGGAGCAGCCTCTGGGAGACCTGCGGGAGGACGGAGGCTTTTTGCAAAGAGATGGCGCCCTAGGAACATGTGCGGAGAGAGCGAGAGCCCTGGCGGGATACCCGCAGCCAAAAAGTCTAGAAATCAAGAGCTTCTCGGGACCAGAATCAAAAAGGAGCGAAGAAAGGGAAACACCCGACAGCACATGCACGCAGCAGACCCTGCGGACTCCGTCCAAGCTCTCCGCATCTTCTACAGCCGGGGTCCTCCCTCTCCCTCTCCGCCTTTACCCCTAGGTCAGCGCCTCCCCTGCCGCGGCGGAGGGGAGAGGGCGATCCCCCATCAGCGGGGCAGTTTTCAGACCAAGCCCCAAAACCCTAGCCTGGGATCCCCACCGCCTTTCCTTTCACACACCTACCGTTTTTCGTCGCAGTTCACCTATTATCTGGAGGGCTGATGCCTAATGATGTTAATTGTAAGCTAGTAAAGCGAAGGGGGGGCGAAGGGGGAGGGCTGGGGGAAGGACTCGCCGTCTATGAACACAAGCGCTCCTGGCCAAAAAAGTAAATTAGTGGAAAGTTTTCTCCTCCTCTCCCTCTTTCGCCTTCTGCCTCTCCCTCCGTGGAAGTCAGTCTGGCCAGGGCGCTGCAAACGCCTGCGGCAGGTTGCGCTGCCGTGCGGGTGCGGGTGCGGGGCCATCCCGGTACGCCCCGTCGGGGTCCGCCCCCCTCCCCATTTCCCATCTCAGGAAGACACTTGTGTAAAACCAAAGGTGGCACCACCCGCCCCACGACAGAGCCTACCGGCGCAAGAAACCGCCCCCGGCTCTTCTGAAGAGAAAAAAGCCGGGGGTGGTATGTACATCCCCCCCCGCTCCATCCCCCGACTGCTCCTCCAAAGGGAGACCGTTTGCGAACCCATCTGAAAAACACTTTGACGGCAGGGGCCGGGCTCTCCCCCTAGCGTGGCCCTGCTCAGGGGGCAGCACCAACCCAAGCACCTGGAGCTGCCGGCTCCGTAGCATCCCGCCGGGCCCCCTCGCCCCTCCGCAGCCGCGCACACCCCGCGGGGCTCCGCTGCGCACCCCGCCGCCGGCAGGCGCGGGGGGGTGGCTTGTTTCTGTCCCCCGCCAGCCTGATTTACAGCGAAACTCCCCCAGCTCCCTCCCAAGCTTCAATAGGGCGCTGAGGCGTGCCGGGTGGTGGTTCCTTCTCAGCCTCTCCGCGTATTGAGGAAGATTTTCTGGAGAAAGCTTGGGCGCATCAATCCGTTTTTGTACCTGTAAGTTATCTGGCGTTAAACGGCACTTGCTGCCACAATAAAAAAAGTCCAGCTCCTCAGCCAAATTTCATAACACACAGGAAAATAAAACCGAAAACGTGAGAGCTGAAATAGAAATCATGCTGAAAACATTCAATCGTTTATGCTGTAAATAAATTCCCTGAACACCTGGTAGGCTATAAATTAGAATGTATAGCTAATAGGCTTCTTTGATTTACGCTCCCCTTTCGACTAATTAAAAATAATTGTGACATCCCCTGAAAACAGCCTCCCCCCCAACTCATAGGTCTGTTGCTGGTGTTAATGGTAAAACGTCCATCAAATATTTTTAGAATTTCCTTTCCTCCAGAAATTAAAAAAAAAAAATACCCTTACAGACTCAGGAAAAATAAATACCCTTTGTAAACTTGGAATACTGAAGTTTCTTCACAATTTATTACTTCACCTTTTCCTTGAGTTACAGCCCTCTGTGCCTCTCAGAGATCACCCTGGCCAACAGTGGTTGATCTTCTCAGCAATCGCTTCCAAAACTGTGTGCTATCCTTAATAAAAGGAAAAAAAATGATAAAGAAGTGAAATCAATAAAAATAAAAAATAAAAAGTGAGAAAGAAAAAAAAAAAAGAAAAAAAAAGAAATACCTTTTCTTTTTTCCAGACCTCCAAAATTTTTATTCTGCCTGCAACAGATTAGTGCTAAATAAAGCGTTTTAAAGCAGGTGCTTTTCTCCCCTGCTGCTCTTTTTATTATGAGGAACAGAAGCTTCTCCTAATATATATAGTGAGGGAGACCCTTCTCTATTGCTTTTATTGAAAAGACCAAACTTGTGACATCACTAACCACCTTCCTATGGCTGAGTTTGCCTCATCTCTGCCTCAGTGGGCTTGGAAAAAAAAAAATTAAAAAAAAATCTATGGCTTCGCTAATATGGCAGGAACTGAGCAGTGCCAAGCCCTTTCAGGAGGCTTACTATCATACCATGATACCGTGCCCTTTCCCCCCACCCCAGCCCCCCCGCCAAAGCCCGTTTGTCATCTGCACAAGCAGCGCTGCGCTTTTCTCTTGCCACCTACACAAATGCCTAACCCGTGAGCAAACTCCTCCTGCTACCTAGCCTCACCGCAAGCCTGAGCCCTCCTCCATGGCGGGACGGGGCGAAATTCCCCTCCACGGGGTTCTAAGCCCCTGTCCCCCCGCCGTCTGGAGAGCCTGGGCTCGGCGGGAGCGTGCCCAGCGGGGGCGCGACTCCCGGGCGAGACCCTGCGGCACCTGCCGCCCCAAAACCCGGCCGCTGCTCCCTGCCAGCCCCGGGTCTCCCCTTGCCCCGGGGCACAGGGGACGAGGCCAGAGGAGAGGAATGGCTGGCAGAGCGCTGCTTTGGCACAGATTTGGAACTGGAAATCGCGCCCACACCTGTGCCAAGGCAGCGCCGGGCACCCCCGGGCGCGACTGGCCCCGTGCGCAGGAGCAGGGCAAGGCACGAATTTCTTTGGGTTTCACCTGCCGGGGCCTCGGTTTGCAGCAGGGCTCTCCGCCAGGCGAGGCGTTTGCGGTGGCTGGGTGTTTTCCCAGCGCGAAGGGACCGGTCGTTTTGTCGGACCTGGAAGAGGCTTCAGGCGGAGGTGAGGCAAAACCCCGTGTTTGCCTTTCTGGTCAAGCCCTCCCTGCCACGACAAGGCAAACCTTATCATTTTAGGTTTTCTGCCGTCCTTCTTTCCCCCCTTCCCGCCTCAAAGACAATGAGAATTTGGAGGGATGCCGCGCTTGGCTTCTGACTCCTTTTTCCATACGTATAAACAGGCATAAATCAGCTTTCCTACGAGGAAGTTGACCTGGGAGGTTGGCTGGGAAGATAAGTCCCTGTTCCAGGTTTGGCACGGGATTCCCGAGCGGGGAGTAGGGCCAGGGGCTGCGGGAGGGTGGGAGACCGGGCTCCCCAAACGCCCCTGAGGAGTGAAACCTTCCTCTGAAACAAAAGCAGCCAAATGGGTCAGGTTCGGCTAACCGGGGAGGAGCTGCAGTCGCAGCCTTAGAGAGACAGAAGGAAATAATGACTCCCCAAAAGCCCGGTGCTCAGAGACAGGCTAAGCAAACTTGCCATCTTTCACCTTTGTGAAGTTCTGCCTCTCCCTCTTCCCTCTTGTTTTATTCACAATAAAGCATGTTCGTCATTTCCCCTCCCGGATTTCTATAACCTCAGTTGCACTCGGCTAGGGCTTCGGTTCAGACAGGGAGTTTAACCTCCCCAGTCTTCCCAGGGTGGAAAAAATGGTGTTCAGCAAAAACGAAGTCTCGCTGACTGCTCGAGAGTCTGGAGGGGAAGGGAGGGTCAGAACAGCGACTGCTGGCCCCGTCCTGCGAGGACCAGAAATCGCCTGAGACTTGCACAACCCGTGATCTAGCAAGATTCAAAGGCAGCAAAGGCAGTGAGCGCAGCTCTCTGGAAGAGAGGTGCAAAGCCCCAGTGCTTTTTTTTTTTTTTTTTTTTCAACGCTCACAGTGTGGTCTTGAAAGCAAGTCTGTTCTGCAACTCGTGGCAAACACAATTGGTTGCAGATTTAGACAAGCTTTCTAGCACATGCTCTTGCCCGCAGCCTATCCCTGTAGCTCTCTGCTGTCCCCCACTCTTGGAAAGGTTGTCCTCCTCCCCTAGCTGTCAGGTGGGACAAACTCCTTAGTCCACATCTGAGGCGGTGTAACCTGCCTGGGTGAAGAGATTCCTTCGGAAGAGGGAGAAAACCCTTTTTTCCCCCTCATCAGCAAGACCCAGGCGTGTCGTGGCACTCCATCTGCGCACACTAATCTCCTTTATTAAACAATGATAGAGTAGCTGAGCAGAGCTGCCGCTCCCACCCCAGAGGCGGCCGGAGGTCCGCAGCTCAGCTATTGACACAATGCGCGGTTTATTTAGACAATATGCATTTAATTTAATGCGTTCGAGAAAAAAAAAAAAAAAAAAAAAAAAAGAGTTGTGTGTGGAACTGCTAGCAGTTTTGCCAAATCTTCTGTCTGGTTCCTAGAATTCAGTAGACACCGAAAGGAATAATTTTCAAATTTGAGGGCGAAGACTCAGTTATTAATCCGCAAAGCCTGCTCTCCTGCTATATATAGCCTGGCGGTGCTCGCGGCTGGCATCCCGCGGCCGAGCCTGGGGAGGCTCCGGGTGCCCGGGCGGCGGAGGCCGGCCGGAGGGAGGCTGCGGGCGGAGGGAGTCTGCGGCCGGGCCGGCCTCAGTGAGCTGTCCATGGTGGTGCCGGCCCCGAGCTCCGCTTCGCGCCCGCCGGCCGCCCCAGGAACCCCCCCGGGGATCCCCAGGTCCCGCAACCTCTGGGTCAGGGGCTAGCGGAGGTGGGGGCAGAAGGTCCCCGTCTGCACCCCGCGCCCGACGGTGCCCGCAGGTAAGGCACCAGGGGGAGGCAGGCGGGTTATTTTCTGCCCCACCCCGTGTCCAGGGAGGCTTGCAACCTCGCCAAATTTTGTAGCCCGCGCCAAACTGATGGTGCTTGAGACGCCAGCAGCAACCCGGCTTTGAGGGATGCGCCGATTTTTGTTTAGGGCTCGGAAAGCTGGAGCCGTCAAGGTGCTACTCACTAGGTCCGGTCTTGACTTCAGCCTTAAACATCTCTTAACATAGATTGAGATGCTTTATTTGTTCCATTTTCTGACTGAATATCTATTAAATACCAACAGGAACAAACGTGTCTGGTCTATTTAACTTACACAAAACCATTACCAAGCTGGGCTGGCTGAAGAACAAGAATTCAATTTAAATGGGAGGTGAGGGGTGTAAGGAAAGAAGCTTTGCAATTTGTTTTTGCTCTATGTTGGAACAAAATTCGATCCTTTAGACATTTTTCTGAGAGGATACAGACTCACCTCCTGCCTTGGAATAGTTTAGTGGTTAGTGTACTCATCTGGGATGTGGGACACCAGAGTTCAAGTCCTTCCCTTCTCTGATTCAAAGCCCTAATCCCTGGTCTGTTGGCTTCTCTTAGTTCCATCCCAGACCTAAAAACCTTTCCGATTACATATATGATGAATTGATATTTTCCAATGGGTGAAAAATGAATGTTTAGTTAAGGATAAATTCCTATCTAACAATTATGCTGAGCAGCCTGAGATTTTTGGTTAACAAGGAGAACTCAGGACTGCCATCACACAATAATGAAAAGGGACTGCAAGTTGTGAAAACAAGTGGTACACTAGGAAAAAGGAAGGACTCTGCCCTTCTCTGGTGGCCTAGTGTGATGAAGGCACACTTTCTTTGGCTTTAGGTTTGTAGTTTACTTGGAAAAAAAGGACTCTGTCCTTCCCCATGGGCACAGGGAGCTAGTGTGGTTAAGGTGTGCTTTCCTTAGGTACAGGTTTATTTGCCATTTCTTTGGCAAAAGAAACATAAGAGAAAGCTGTGCCTAGGATCACGTCTAGCCTCATTTGACTTCCCAGCTCAGAAGACCAGCTGCCTTTGTCAAGCTGGGCTAATGAATATAACTCGCTTGTTTGAAGCTTAGAGTCACACATCTTAACAGTAAAGTACCATAATACATGTATGCTTTCCCATGAGCATAGCCTTTATTGGCTTGGATTTCTTAAACACATCTTTGTTTTATGTGTTTTTGTTGTTGCTTGTTTCTTTCTTTTTCAATTAATCTAACTACTTTTGGTCATCTGCAATCTGCCTTCCAGGAGTTTTTTTTGTTTGTTTTCCTTTTTCTTTTTTAGTTCTCCGGGCTCCGGAGCCGTCTCCTTACTTCTCCTAAGGAACGGAGAACTCTCCTTCTCCGAGCCCTTCTCCTTCTCCGGGCCCCTTCGCGGACGAAGGGGTCACCGGCTCCTGGAAGAGACGGAAGCCACGAAGATCGAAAGGTCCCGCGAAAAGAACAAGACTCAGTACGGAGGGACGGAAATTCCAAACTTCCCTTCCTTCCCCAAACCCTCGTTCCCCGTGAAAAGGAATAGGCTGGCCCCTTCCCTGCCTTCGGCCTCACCTTCCACTGCCCTGGCACGCCTCCCTTCCCCTTGCCGTATGCCCCTTCCCTCCCCTTCCCCTTCCCCTTCCCTTCCCTTCCCCTTCCCCTTCTCTTCTTCCTATTCTTCCTCTTCCTCCTCCTCCTCCTCCTCCTTTTCTTTTTTCTTCTTCTCCTTTCTTCTTCTTTCTTCTCCTTTCTTCTTCTTCTTCTTGTTTTTAAAACCTACAAATGACCGGCACTGTTACGTTCATCCTGTTTTGGCTTAAGCTTGTTTTGCTCCTTCCTTTGCTCCTATACAAATAAAATGGTGCTTACCATTTTTTTTCCCACATCAATTATTCACTTTCATATCCCTAATTTGCAGTGGAACAAACTGCATCTTTAAACTTTTCCCAGCAGTCATGGGATTCATGCTCTCACTGAAGGCAAACTGATTCTCTTCATTCACTTTATTTGGATAGTGGTACTTGACCAGCTGTTCTCCAAAATTTGGGTGTTCTTTGATCTCACAGTATGGTTATTTTTCTCAGACTTGATGTCCCATTGGGTGTGAAGCCTAAGCTGTAATAAGCAAAGTGGAATGACCACCTGACTTACTTTGAAAGGTCACACGTAGTGGAATGGAGCCTGTAGAGCTGCCCATGACACACTACATAATCAGCTTGGACAGCAGGAGACGTGAGAGAGCACATTTTTTAGTGGAGCTTTAATTAACCCTTACAGGTTAGGGTTTAAAATTTACTAGCTTATCAAATATGAAATTTTATAGTTAATCTTTATTTATTTCTTCAGGTTAATTAAAGTTATATGTTAGCTGTTATTAGTTTACTGTGAGGTGATTAAACTGTTTCTTATATCATTCTAACATCTTGTTTTACACTGAGCCTAATTTCTCCATCCAT